CTTTTTTGGTACAGTGTGCTTTTAAATTTTAAACAGCAATAAAAATGCAGTTTAAAAAATTTAAGGATTGTATTTATTTTTAATCAATTTATTCCTTCCTATACAAAATCTCAGTCGTGATTATAACAAGGCCACAAAGGCTTGTTGGTCCGACCTTCAGAATAGGTTTGTAAAGAACGGATTCAAAGGTTAATGGAATCTTTGTTAGAAAGTACAAAGGATGTCATTGAAATCTTCACACCTATTTTCTGCATTAATGGACGGGGAGGGGAGGAAATTGCTGTGAAACTGGAAAAGTATTTCGGGCGGTTCAGTATTTTGAGGATGTAGGTTAGCGAAGGGTCTGGATTTCAAAGAGTTAAAGGTAAAATTTTGATTTGAATTTATCACTGAAGTATTTTATATTTCACTTATGTTTTCAATTTTTAAATAGAATTCTTTTTATTTAAGGTACAAGATTCTAATCAAAATTTATTTTGTTTTTTTCTTGCTTTGGGGAGGTGCCAGAATTTTCGGGTGAACTATTATAATTAAAATACATTGAAATGGTTCATTGGCTAATTCTGAATACAGAAAAGTAAGGATTTTTGTGGAAGAGAGATTCCAATTAATTTCAGTGTTCCTCCTCCTGATGAAGTGGCATTGAAGTGGATTGAATTTCTCTTCTATTATGTTTGCTTTTCTTTAAATTTCATTGATTTTTTTTAATTGGGGTATTGCTTGTTTGAAGGGTTTTGGTTTTAACACTTATTAAATTTTTTTATTGTATTTATGGGATTAAGACACAATAACACGCCGAATAAATACTGATTCAGAAGTCAAACAACAATTTTTCTGCTGCCAAAATTATTCAAAAAACATCTTCCATTGGAGAACTGGATTTTCTAGAGGCATTTCACATTCATAAAAATCTTTCTGTTCTAGTTAACGATCCTAATTCCAATCCAAATTTGCCTTCGGCTTTTAGAGAAATTATGTTTTAGTTCTGGTTTCGCCAACAGATGGCGCCACTTGATTATTCTTGTCCAGGCTTTCTTATCTTATCTAAAAATTATTTCCTATCTTGTTCATTTGCGGTTTTGCAGCTGAAGATGATGGTTCGGTAAAACCATCGAAACTAGTCCTGTGAAAATTTTGTGAATTAACGCTGATTTTTGTTGTTTGACTTCTGAATCAGCATTTATGGGATTATTTGAAATTTATTATTTACGAATTTCAATTTTTGGTCTTTGTGAAAAATTAGTTATAAATTTCTTAATTTATAATATATATATAATATTTAATGGAAACTGCATGAAGTGTATAGGAATGCAATCAAGATACATTCAAATAGAGGAAATTAATTTTATTACACAAGACGTGCTTATACATAATTTGACAGCAAATGTAAAACTCTCTCACTCGATGAAATCTGCATGATTGAAACATGGATCAAACTGCCTGACCAGCTTTCACATCCTTAACCAGAACATTTTAGCAGAGACTGGGTATTGTTTCTGTTGTTGTAGCTAAATAATGCAGTTGTTTTCCCTTCATTGTCTCTCTCACTTGAAATGAATACTGGACAGATGCTGTTTCAGGGTAGGCAAGAGGTAAAAATAATTGAGAGTCCTCTTCCAAACCATAGGCGAGACTTTTCCATTCTTCTCAAATGTGTAAAAGCAAATGTTCAATATTTCATTTGTATGATCTGATATAACTGAAAAGGAAATGACATAGCTGTACAGCCAATTTTTTTTTCCAGTCTAGTATAAAGCTGTACAGCATGGATAGTGAATACAGTCAAAAGTCGTTAATTCGGACACCCATAATTCGGAATGATCTATAATCCGGACGTCAAAACTAAAAACTTTCTGCGCATGCGCCACGTTGACACATGCGCAGAGGCGTTCACGCGTGCGCGTAAGACCTTTTACGACTGCGCATATGAGTGTGCGCAAGTGCAGAATACGTTTTCGCGTGCGCATTTTATGTATAATGGACATATAAGCTAAAATTATCTAATTATCTATTTCAGTTAATGTTGATGATTGCATTGTTCCTTAATTTTCGAATTGCATCCGGCTTATTATTTTTTGCAGACTGTAAGAGCAATTTTATAAAAGTAAGCTTAAACTTTCGATTATATCAAATAGAATTTCCGATATATATTTGTTAATATGTAAAGGATCTAAAGCGAAAGTATGTTTTGAAATCCGAAATCTGTTTATCAGTTTCACGCTGCTCGGCGGCGGGCGCCTAATGAATTGGAAGTTGATTTGTCAGCACTATCCTTATCTTCAGCGCAGATGTTTTTATTTTATTTGTCATATAATTCCTTACCAAATGTAGTATTTCATCTCGATATGCTCCGTCTTTGATATGATTTAAAACAAGTTCCTCGTCATTATAATTCGCTTCCGATAGCGAAGAAAAGTGACAGAGGTTATTGAAAACAAAAAAATTTCGATTGACAAATTAGTCAGTGTTCTTGACACAGCAATTATAGGACTTAAACGGCGGAACTTTGTAACTGAACAAGAAATTATGTCTGTTTAATAGAATTAAAGAGAAAGTATTATCACATGAAACGAAGCAAAACTTAAACAACTTACATTGAAAGAAATGTTTAATAAAGTAAACAAATAAATATTAAGCTTTTTCTTTTTGCAAATTTTGATACCCTTTAGATCATAATTGTTCTTTATTTCATAAATTACGGTTTCATATTTTTAATTTTAGAATTTCTGCATGCCATCTTACGAGATTTAAACTGATGATCTATAATCCGGAATCGCCGAAGTCCCGACGAGTCCGGATTAACGACTTTTGACTGTATGTTCTCCAATAAGTTTTCCAAGGAACTCTGGAAGATACAAGTAATAAAATGGCAAAAGGTGCCACTTAAAATTACCCCTTTGATAATGAAGCTATTCATTGAAGTTTTCCCAGTGGTGGAAACAAAGCGGTCATGTTATGTCTCATTTTCAGTTCTAGTGTGGTCATGAAAACTCTGTGTCTCTGGCATAATGAAAATCTGCTAAACAGGCTATAATTGATGTGGTTTGGAATCAAAGTGTCTACATCAAATTCAGATCTTGGAGCATTGAAAAAGCATCCATTGTAAGATGGTGAACAGCATCGTAGCCTACTCCCATCTTAGATGCAGTGTGGCATAATATATACATTTAGTTTTCTTAAATTATTTTGTTAACATATGCAGTGTTAATCACTGTCGCTAATATTCACAGTTCACATGAATGGTTCGAACATCATTCCTGCCTAACTAGAAGTGTGGGCATACTTTTAGATTCATACACTGTAAGAACTTAAGAAATCAATTTGAATGATTTAATTTAGTGAATAAGTTTGGAATTTTTTTAGTTTTATTGTGATTCTACAATTTAAAAAATTATTACGTTCTATATTTTAAGGTAAGTTGTATCACTGCATGAAAGAATGTCATGGTTTTGAAATGAAGAATTATTAGAAATAGTAATCGGTTTTATAAGAAATACCATATGAAAAGGGAAAAGTAGTTATGTTTAAAATTGTTTGAAAGGTACGAAATTCTGAAGAGAGAATCCCCTCCCCGTCTCCTGTGTGCTTGTAAAGCATCGATGTAGGAGGATAGTCATAGAATTTTAATAATAATCTTCCATGTATTTATATATTTTTGTTCTAAAAATGTTATTAATTTTTGTTGAAGTATTAGTTTTTTTATTTGATTTTTAAGATATCTCTTACTAGGCATAATGGAATTCTTGATGGAATTTGAGTGGGTATATTTCTTGCTTACTTTTATAAGTATGTCAGGTATAAAAATATCATTCTTGAGGTGGATTATATTAATTTCCTTTGGAGATTGTCTTCTTATCAGTTATTATTTTTTCATTTTAGGTTATTTTGTGCAGACTTTTTAAAAAAAGAAGTAGAAAAGAGGATTAATGTGGATAAAAATTGCCAACTTTTCACTAGACATTGGCATATTATTCATTGTCTAAAGATTTCATTGAGAAAAAAAATGTGCAATTCATTTGGCATGAGATTTTTTTTTTATTATTATTATTTTAGCATTTAATAGGAATTTTTTTATTATTTTATTTTTCTGAAAACTGTACGTTTGGGAGGGGGGACTGTAGTTGTATTCAATTTGATTGCATTTCCCGTCTGTTTAGAGCAGATTGCATTTTCCTTCTGTTTTCTCAAGAACAAAGTTAATTAAAACATTTTAAACTGATAAAAGGCAGTTTAAATGCATTTTCTTTTTCTTTGTTTTCTTTTTTTTGTTTTTAAAGAAAGAGCGAAAACTTCTCTGCCATAATCTTTGCCTGAATTTGAATCAAACTATTGAAAATACCAATACTCTTAAAGTTAGCAATATTTGATGGGCTTTTACTTGATATTTATAGTTGCACTTTTGAATTAAAATCTCCATAATACTGGTCAAACGTTCACAAGGGATCAAGTGATTGAAGTTGTTGAAGCAGTAGATAAAGTTCTCTATCTTTGAAGCTTGAGATTAGATCAATTCAGTACACCGTAAAAGCATTATCTATAAAAAGGAACCTATTTGAAATTAATGTTTCTCTAGTCTACAAAAATCGTAGATGGTTACTGTGGCGTGATTTAAATGGTTGAGGAACTTTTTTTGATTTTGACAGTATGATCTCCTTTAAATTTAGCAGTTGTGGGAAGATTTTGATAAATGTTGTTCTTGATGTAGTGGCCCAACCAGGGAAAATGTTTACAGGAATCATGTTGAATATTAAACTTTCTTGTATTTTCGGTTTCTTTTACATAAGATTAATTCGTCTTTTCTCTTGTTTGTGATTTTAAAATTAATATTCCATTTACCAGCTTTATTGAGTATATTTATGTGTCATCTTCTGGTGTATATTTTCTTATTCTTTAATAAAATGTTATATTTGTGCCCAAGGCCTGGATAAATTTATTAACGATTTGGCATCTTGCACATATGAATTTTGTAACAAATAATATCATGTTTTATCTTTTATTAGGTTATTTAACATACTTTGGAGATAATGTCTATTATAATACGACTGCAAAATCTGCCTTTAAGTGCTACATCTGGAGATATACGACACTTCTTTGGAGGTCTTAGTATACCTGAAGGGGGTGTACATATTCTTGGTGGTGAGAAAGGTGATGCTTTCATTGCCTTTTATACTGATGAAGATGCACGTATTGCTATGAAAAGAGATGGCAGTAAAATTAAAGATGCTCGTGTCAGATTATATCTGAGCAGTCATATGGAAATGCTACATGAAATTGAATGTGTTACGAAAGGTAATTTCAGCGAGTTACCTGAGAAGCATTTAACAAATGAGTTGCAAAGGTCTGGAAGTCTCTCTCCTGTATCATTTGAAAGGAAAAGGTACACATCAGGGACTCATCGAAGTAGAAGCCCGTATGAATTTCGGGACGCAAATAGAGAAAGAAGTGAACATTATAAGTTGGATTCACCACTGAGAAGTTGGTCGTCCAGTGCTGGCAGAGTGCATTCACCCCAATTTAGAATGTCAAGATCACCTCGACGAAGAATATCACGTTCACCACTAAGATCAAAATCTCCTGGTAGGAGGTTTTATTCTCAGAATAATAGGCAGTCTCACTCGCCAGTAGTAAGAAAATCAAGATCTCCTCACAAGAGGAAATCACATTCACCAGTTTTAAGGTCAAGATCTCCCAGGTTCAGAGAACAACATTCTCGAAGATCACAGTCACCTGCTACTCGATACAGGGATTTTTCAGACCATGGAAAGCAAGTTATTTCAGTATCTGAGTCTTATACACGCTCAGTTTATTCCTCTGAAATGAAAGATGGGTATCCACAAGAAAATATCCATGACTCAGTATTTAATGATCGTTTTGATTCTGAAATTCAACTAGGGCATGAGATTGAAAGTCGCGAACTTCATCAGATGGATCCAGTGAAATTTTCAGATCAGGATCACCAAAATGCCAATAAATTTCAATCAGCAGAAAGATCCCAGGCAGAACTTGAAAGACGGATAACTGACGTTTTAAAACAAAATTGTATCCAGGAAGCATTTGAAAGAAAAGTTAATGACAGTTACAACAGAGATTTAACTAGAGATAATTCCTTTGAAGCAGGACATGCTTTTAACCAAGACAAAGTATCTGATAGATATGTGCATTTTACTTCTACTTCAACTTTAAACTGGAATACAAACAAAAGTGTAATACCTGCAAATCAGTATAATGCATTGCCAACTTCAGCTCCTAGTGCTGTTCCTTCAAGTATGCTGTCATCATTACCTCCAAATGTATTACCAACACTACAGTCTAATGTAGTGCCATCCCTGCCTCCTAATGCAATGTCATGCCCACCTCCTAATGCAGTATCATCTCTACATCCAAGTGTAGTACCATCAATGCCTCCAAATATGCTGTCATCTATGCCTCCTAATGTGGGGTCGTCCATGCCTCCTACAATGATACCATTCCAGCCTCGTAATGTAATACCTTCATTGCCTCCTAGTTTTTTGCCATCTCAGCCTCCTAATATAGTACCACCAATTCCTCCTGTTATGCCACCACCTGTACTTCCAAATTCACTCCCACCTGTACCTCCAAATGTACCACCATCATTTCCTACTATATTGCCACCAGCATTTCCTAATGCATTGCCACCACCACCAGTGTTTCCAGGTGTTGTGAAAGATATAAATAATGGACAACAAGTAAAGAGCAAAATTCATCAGTCACAAAATTTCTATGTTACAATATCTGGGTTGGATCCAAATTGGTCTTACAGAGAAATACAAACTATATTAAATGGGATTTATGTTCCCCAAACTGATATAAAATGGGAAATTGATCAAGCAGGTTTGAGAACAGGTACTTCGTTCATAAAATTGTTACAGAGGGAAGATTTTGTGAAAATCACAAGTAAAGCAACTTTTCATTTTAATAATAGGCGTATAACTGTGAGTGAATGCCCAGAGTTTGTTTTTCAAACTTGTTTTCCTCCAGACACCAGCATAATGCCTGACCTTACTTCTGCACCTTCAGACAGCAGTGTAATGTCAAATCGTAAAGGTACTTTGGCAGTGAATTCTGATTTGTGTTGTGTTATGAAAGGTTTGCCTTTTAATGTAACGTACAAAGCTATTCGAAAATTTTTCCGTGGCCTTAGTATAGAAGATATATTTATAATTTATGCCAAGAATGGCAAAGCAACTGGGACTGGTTATGTATCTTTTACCAATTTCAAAGATTTTGTTGTTGCTAAATCACGAAATGGAAGAAAAATTTCTCACAGGTACATTGAGGTATTACCATGTTCAGATAAAGATATGATGGAGGCAAAAAATAAATATGGTAGTTCTGGAAACTCTCGGCCAAATTCTGCAACAAGTTCTATTAATAATCCATATCAAGATACAGAAACTCCAAGTTCTTTTAATAAACCATTGCAAGACATAAAAACTCCTATGCAAACAAGGCCTCTATGTGCATTACTTACTGGGCTACCACCATCTATTACATCCAGCAAAATTTCAGCATTTTTTAAGAAGTATGGTTTAAATCCTGATGCCATTCACATTACTCTTAATAATAAAAATCAGCCTAATGGTAGAGCATTTGTTGAATTTTCAAATTTTCTGGATTTTGAAGCAGCTCTTAAATGTCATGGGAATTTTATTGAAAACAATTTAATTTGTGTCAAACAGATTTTACATGATGAAATGACAAAAATATTGAATACTCAGAAAGCAAAGCATAAATTTCAAGGATTGGAACTTCATTTAACACCACCAGACTTGCCTGAAAAAGTACCATACCTCTGGGAACCACCTGATGATTTTGAAAATCAGGGTAAACTTTCAGAGATCTCCAACTCTGATACTTGGCCTACAGATACTGTTATGAGAGACACATACAGTAATCATGGAAACATGCAAAATTTTGAATTTAATAGACCTAGAGAACTTTGTAATACTTCATTAAATATGTATGAAAAGATGGATGTTTTTGAAGAAAACCAGAAGTACAACTCTTCTGTTGATGCATATATCACTGATCGAATTAATGAAAATAGGCAGTATCAAAGTGAGCTTGAAGAACAGCAGATGTACAAGACTTTACCTGTTGACATCCCGTCTGTACACACAGCTTATGAGGAGCCACCTGTCATTCGAAACAATACACAAGAACCATCAATGTACTTTCAAGAAAATTCATATGATATGGATATGGCAAAAGAAGATCCTTATAGAGCTCCAGTGAAATTTGAAGTTAGAACTAAGCAGTCTGTTTCAAAGAACTCCAAAACAGATGATGCATTTAGTCAAACATTTCATGAAGAAAAAAGAAAACTAATTAAATTGTCACCTGACAGACACTATGCAGATGTTGATAAAATTGGTTACTCACACAAAGAAGAGAAAAGAGATGCTTCTAGAAAGCAATATGATTCAAAAGAAAAAGTCACCAAGAGTGAAAGTTCAGAAAGAGCAAAAGACTCTAAAAGATATGATGAAAAGTTTTCATCGAAGGAAGACAAGGACTATGTCAGCAGATTAAGAAGGGATTCCAGAGATAGAAAGACTACAAGGTCTAGGCGAAGATCACCTTCACCACCTAGCAGACGTTCACGCAATAGCGAAAAAGATAGAAGAAGATCACCTGTAAAATCTTCATCGCACCAGCTGAATGAAAAATCTGATTTGCGAAGGTCATCTCCTCATAAGAGAAGAAGTTCAACTGAAAGGCAATGTGTAGTACAGCTCTGCAATGTTCATCCTAGTGTTGACAGTGAGGAACTAGAGTATTTTTTCCGTGGCTTTCGAGCCAATAAAGAAAATTTTATTCGTAGATTTGCGGAAAATGGTGAGCCAACTGGAGACGTTCGTGTGACATTTGAAAATTTGCGAGAAGCGGAAAGAGCTATACGAGATTTAAATCGACGTTACTTAAAAGGAATACCTATAGAAATGTTTGTTGTTGGCTGAGCTAAATGAAAGCTATGAATCTTAAGTGTTTACTGTATCACTTAGAATAATATAAACCTTGAACTTAATTACTATTGAATTTTAATAAGTTTTATGTGAATTACAGTGAAAATTTCAAAACAAGTTTTTTTACTTTATCCTATTGGAAAAAAAAATACTTAAAATTTTATGTTTTCTCATATAATTTTAGGTTATGCAATATACGTCACAGTAATAATGCATGTGTAGTTTGTGGATGAGCCAGCTATTGGTGGTTCATATTATTTCAGCAGAATTATGCTAAAAATTCATACTTTGAATTTAGCATTTTTGTACAAGAATAATGTGTAAAAAATTTCTGAAGTATTTTTATTTAGCCATGGAATAGTAATAGAAACTCCAAAATAAATTTTAGTTTTTTCGTCGAGAAATTAAAAGTGAAATAGATGCTATGAGTTTCCTTATTTATTTCGATCATTGTGGACATTTGCTGAAATGCCATTCATTGCTGTTTACAAAGAGAATATTAGCAGTACTGAATTCATAATGAAATATGAAATTTTTGGAAATATATTAGCTTACAGAGGAAAGGAAAACAGAGAATGCATATTCTGATTTCTTATGACTTATTTGAAACATACTTTTTTTTTGGACTATTTATGAATTTTTTTTTTTTTTTTTTTTTTTTAACTTAGCAGCAATATCTCTTGAATATAATGTGAGAAATTGTAATTTGCAACACTTAATACCAAATAAGGTCATTCATAATTTTGATTGAAAATTATCAGGCAACATTATTTTTATTTTTATTTATTTATTTTTTTTTTTTTTAATATGTGCTGCTGTTAATATATTATTATCGTTATTCTGTCTGGCACTATTTTGACATGATTTGTTGTAAACTGATAAACTGAAGAGAGAGCATTCAGCTGTTAATGGTCATGTACAGTGAACTCATTTCTGGCATTTATTTTGTAATTGTAAAATATACTTAAATAAATTCGTCAGTAAAATTGTTTAGTTATTATTGAATGGGAAAAAATAGTTCCAATTAAATTATAATACATGTTTATGTAATAAAAACAGCATTTTCTGTAGACATAAACAAATTTAAAAGAAAATGTTTATACAGTACAAAGTCCGATCATAAAATGTGGAGAATCCTGACACTTAATTTCACTTTGCACTAAATAAAATACCTCTATATTGAAGAAACTATCATTTACTAGCATAAATCTGTATGATCAATAATTTAACTCCATAACTGCCTTTTTGCTTGGCATACATCTCAAACCAAAATATTCTACATCTAAACATGGTTGATTTTACACCTACTAAATTATTTATATCCCTGATGCCAACCTGGAGAGTCATTATTTATTATTTTTTACTTTCATCACTACATGACTATCAACATATGGCAGCTTGAGAAATGACTCACACATTAAATAGTTTTTTAAATAAAATTTTAGTACTTGAAAACCAAATAGAATGGTAACCTTTTATATTGACATTGCGCTTGCCGATGATTATAGAATTCATCCAACTTGCACTGCTAAATGTTGAGTGTGTTGATGATGAGAATTCAAAAGAAATTTCTTTCTATATGCAAAAAATAGGTTTTGTAAATGATTGGTATTAACTCATTTATTTTTCAGATAAGCCCAAGACCTGTGCCAGAGCTGGTGTGTTTCATTGGGGGTGAAATTTAGGGAAGGCAGAATTTTTATAGTTTAGGGAGATGTTTGGCAGCAGAGTTTCAAAGCTGCAATGAATGCATTAGGCTGCAAATTGTCTAGGGCCAGCCTTGGATAACCCTTAATTATATATAGAAATTTATTTATTTCCTGACTGTATAATTTGGATTTTCAGTAATAGTTTCTTTTTTACAAAGGAGGATGGTAATATTTAAAGGTGAATTTTCCACATTTCTTAAAATCACTTTTGGAGTATGTCATCTGAAACAGCATGTTTACCATATAAAGCAAAAATTTTATGAGCAGTTTGACAAGAATTTTTGTTTCCCTCTTTTCAAATAAAAAAGTATAATATGATGAAAATGAACTTGGGTTCTCCATTTTTAACACTACATTGAAACAAAAATTATACCATAACTTATGCTAGAATTATGCAAAGTGAGCAGAAAAAAAACTATATTTAAACATCCACTTCATTCAAGATCCTCTGTATCAGCAGTAACAAAATAATTAGAGAAAAGCATGATTCTGTATGAAAAAACAGCAGAACTTTTTGGATGACCCAATCAATATCTGTATGATGAAAATGTTTTATTGGTGAGGTAGAACATAATGATGGAGCTGATAAACTTCAGTAATAACATTTTGATACAATTCTTTATTTTCATTATAGCATTCTTGAAGTAAACATACAATACAATCAGACTTTCATATTTGTTGATTCAATTCATAGACTTTCATATTTGTTGATTCAAACAATAAAAGCATATTTTTCTTTTTTATATGAAAATATGAAGACTTTCATATTTGTTGATTCAAACAGCAGGTCAGAGTGACTGAGAGAAAAAAAAGAATTTATGTGAAGTTTCATAAATTAGGCAACTAAAATGAAAACATTCACTAACATGCATATAGCTGAAATATAACAAACATTCATTAACATGCATATAGCTGAAATATAACAAACAAAATACACTCATTATCATCTTCTCATACATCTCTGCACAGAGATGATATCTCTAAACAGGAGAATGCAAATGTTCAATGTGGAACTTTTATATTCTCAAGCTAAAGGAATCCACCAAATGTCATAAGTATATGTTGATATTCAAACTTTACTATCAATGGTCAGAGAGTATTTGACTTATTTCAGTTTTCTTTCATTTTTATTTACTAAAATAAGAGCTTCAAATGTAAGCCTAGTGTTGCTACAAATGCATGGAAATTTCCAGTGTATTAGGGAAATGCCTTTATTTCTATTATACTTTATAACACTATTATGTTATACAGTATAAGCACTGTATTTCGTTTGCTTGTTAAAATATCAGAATAATATATTTTGCATCTGTTTGTTTAATAGTACATCGTGTGATATATTGTAGTGTCCAGAATACTTTCATTTTCCATTGTAATGTCTTTCTTACATGATTTTTCAATTAAACTTAAATTTTGTATGTTACACAAATATGCTGTTCATACAGAGTTTGGTGATAGGGATACAAGGGTCACTCTGAAATTTTTTAGGTACAGGTAAGCAAGGTAACCTTGCCAAATCTTGGAAATGTTCATAGTAATTTCTTCTAACATCAATACATTTCTATGGGTGAATTTTCCTGAAATTAATTACTTAAAACTATTTCTTGGAATTGATGAAAAATATGCTTTTATAGCTTCATCAGTCTCTTTTTCAGGATGAAAATGATGGTTACATAAATTTTGTTTTAGATTGAAAAGTAGTCGAGGGTCACTCACAGCAAAATCAGAAGAGAAGTATGGATGTTCCATTACTTTGATATGCGTTTGTTCAAGAAATTCAACTGTCAGTCTTGTTGACTGAGAAGATGCATTATCATTGTGAAGTATGAATTCCGTACTATTAGCTTCTTAAAGAATTTTTGGTAGATAGTGGTGTATCATTCAGCTGTAATTGTCTTCTGTATCTCTACCTTGATGGCTTTGAGCAGTCCTGACCTCTGAAGAAATGGCATACAATACTTTTTTCATTGTTCTTTGTCATTTCACCATTGTTGTTTCTAGGTCATCTTCCAAGACCCATACTTTACTGATCTGTTTGAATGTCAAAAAATGGTATGTATGTTTTATCACTAGTTACAATTTTATAAATTATGCATCATCTACCATCATTAATTAATTTTATAGTTTCTATATTGATTTTGACATGCTCCAATTCTTAGTGCTCTGTTAAATTCTGAGAAACTCAACAGGATACTTAATTTTTTTATATGCCATTCTTCATGAATAATTTTACATATAGCTGTGGATCCAATTTTGAGTTCCTTCTTTTGCAGCATTCTTCTTGACTTAACCCCACTTTAAAAATCATAGCATGATAATGCTTGTGTCAGCTCCATTTCCCCCACCTTTTCTTGAAAAGTTATTCTTTAATATGAACATGCAATTATTGCCAAAAATTATCATCTGTGGACATAAAAAAGTTCAAATTTATATTAATAAGTAATAATTTTTTAGCACATATTGTCTGCCCTTGTCTCATAATTTCAAAATTACCCATGAATTGGTTTCATATATCTGTGGCAAATCTGCTGTGATTACTAGAGTAGTTCTGTAATTACGTACAATCTTTCCACATATTTCAGCAATGTAAAGAGAGAGAAGCAGCAAACTACATGTATACGTTAGAAGAGCGGAAGCAAACATGAAGACAGCATGAAAATTACAATATTGACATTAGATTAAGAATAGAAAACTTATGCTTTCATTTGTTTCTTTTGATTAATCAAGATTTTTGGCATACAAATCTGTCATTACTGGATAAAAGACTCAAAAGTTTTCTTTTGCAGTTATGTAAAAGAAAACTTTTGAGTCATTAGAATTATATTTGAATAATTATCTCATTAGCATTTATACAAGAATCATAAGATGAAGATTCATTTTAAAATGATATAATTTTAAAAAATATTATAAGCATATTATATTATTTGTAGGACAGAAAAGGGATATAAACTAAAAACGAGACTTGAAGAATTATTTCAAATTAAAGTTAGAATTTTATCTTTTGTATGTTAACATATGGAGAGATACCAAACTTTTAGTTTTTCAAAACATCTCCCTGTCTGTAAATTTTGGTTTTGTTAATGAAAATGTTTTTTCAATAATAAAATTTCTTCAATTTAAATTTTATTATTAGATTAAGGAAACTAAAAATATGCTAATTCCATTCTTTTGCCCCTAGTGATTTTCAGCCTAATTTTTTGCATCAATAGATGGTAAATTCTGAAGTTTACCTACAAAATAGTATGTACATTTAATTATTAATTTTATTTTTTATCATGTTTAAAAGTACTTTGATAAGTTAAAGGTTTCCTTCCCTATTCAGAATTTCCTCAGCATAAGAGTAAGAAATATCTAAAATGAAATTACCCAAAGAACAAAGAAATTTAGAACGTGTAATTCTAAACCTCCTGGCTTTTCATATTTCAAGGTTGGAAGCTATGTGTATGTGTGCACAAAGCGATTAAAAAATATATGACAAAAATCTAAATGGAAGAAGATATCAAAATACACATTTTATAATGGAATGCGTGAAATGTTGCATTGCAGTGATGCATAATGCTGGTGGTGAAAAGTATTGTGCTGCATAACTTGTCATTCTTCGTGCAAATTTCGAATGGTGTGCAACTCCAGATGAAGGCGCAGCTTGCCGATATGCATTTCATATATGGGGCTAAAACAGATGTTTCAGTGAAAATGTTTAAAAAGTAACTTTGTTAAACTGGGTGTTGTGTGGATTATAATTGAATAAACATTTTACATATCATGAAATACAAAACAGAAGCAGATAATGGTGCTATAATATAACCCTTAATCTTCTTCCTTAATATAAATATATATACAGTCAAAAGTCGTTAATCCGGATACCCATAATCCGGAATGATCTATAATATGGACCTCAAAACTGCAACTTCCTGCGCATGCGTCAAAGCATAATGCGTTCACGCATGCGCATAATACATTTACCCATGCGTAACGGACGGTATAAGCTAAGCTATATTATCTAATTATCTATTTCAGTTAATGTTGCAGATAGCGCTGTTCCTTAATCTTCGAATTGGATCCGGCTTATTATTTTTTGCAGACTGTTAGAGTAATTTTGTAAAAGTAAGCTTGAACTTTCGATTATGTCAAATAGAATTTCCGAAGCTACAGCTGCCAAAGGATCTACAAAGCAAAAGTATGTTTCGATGTCCATCAAACAAAAAGTGGAATTGCTGCAAAAAATGGATACAGGCATATCCTTTGTTTCTCTAACCATTCCGAAATCTGTTAATCAATTT